AGGTATACATAATATACACAGGAGAACCCTAAGTCTTCTTAAGGCTAAGGAGAGAGAAAGAGGGAAAGAGAGAGATGAATGTAATATGCAAAGCAATTTAACTATTATCTGGCTACTTGCTCCTTCTCAAAGGAATACTGAGCAATATTATAGCATGATTTCTTGTAACAGGGTTCACTGAACTGCTACACTAAAACATATCTGATATGACATCAATGACAGCAATCTGAAACTAATAGTGTCTATAACTAGAGAATTGTAATTTGGGTTATTTGGCATTTTCCCAGTGTCTCAACAGAATTTGCTTATAATAAGGCTGTGGATGTAGCTTAGTGGTAGAGCACTTGCTTACCATATATGAAAGCCCAGAGTTTGATCTCCAACATGGCAACAAAAAAAGAAAAAGGAAAAAAAAAAAAAAAAAGCAAAGCTTATACCAAACTCTGAGGAGCCCAATTTTCTACTAGACTTCTGATGAATCTTTATTTCAAAACGAATATGACTAATTTCTTTTATGGTACTAGAGCTATATTACGAATTCTTCCTATTTTTTACTTTGAGATAGATCTCCCTACGTTGCTTGGGCTGGCCTGAAACTTGCAATTCTCCCTCAGCTTCCCAAGTAGCTGAGATTACTGGTATGTGCTGCTATGCCTAGTAAGATGACGTTCTTACACTATTAAATAACCCACAAAATTCCTCTTATCCTCAGGTGCCATAATTTTGTGACTTTAAATTAAAGCTCACATGTAAATATCACTAAATTAAATCTACTAATTAGAAAATAACAATTACTTAAGCACTCATTGTCTACAAATGAAATACTATCATTTTCATGATCAAATTATTAAATTATCACCTGAAGTTCTGCCATGTATTTGCACTTTGACAGTTTCCTGGTTGTTCAAGTCGAGTGTTTCAGACACAGAGTCTCTATTTTTATCTAATTCTCCTTCAGAATTTACTTTATTAATCTTATTGCACATCTTCTCTTTTTGCCAATCTTTTGACATTTCTGAATTGTTCTCATCATCCTGAATTAACATTGTTGTTTCATTATTATCTTCAGAAAAGCCATTTCTGGAGCCATTTTCATTTTCTGTTTTATCACTGCTGCTACAAGATTCACAAGATTGAAAATCTACATCTGACTGGCTCTTTTCTTCTTCCATGGTCTCCTCAGTAGTTATGGTTTGAGGATCTTCCTCTACTTCCATGACCTGCTCTTTCAGTTCTTCATGAAGCAGATCCATTAAACATCGAAGGAATTCCTGAGCATCCTAATATATCAACAAGGTAGTTACAACTTTACTATGTGTATATGGGAACTTAAAGGAAAATATACAACACAGATTTTAAATATAGAACATTAAATTAAGGAAATAATAATTTGTGTAGAATAGCAATAGAGAGATGGAAAACACTAAGTTCTAAAAAGTTATATAAATAAAACAGAAGTTTCAATAAACTAAAGATGATCTGGATGTCAACTTTTATTAGTGCTGCTATTAATAAACCATAGAAAATGACATAGAAAACATGTGATAATCAGAATTCCTCATGTGATAATCAGAATTCAGATAGATATACTAAACATGAATATTATATAAGTTTGGCTTAAGCTTTATCCAATATTGTACTGTATCTCCTTGATCAACTGAAGTGCTTATTGGACCCTAACTCACAGCACCAGATTATAATCATTGGTGTCCCAGAAATCTGCATGGGAAAAAATGAACAGAGGATGCTAGGGGTGTAGTTCAGAAGTAGAGTGCTTACCTAACATGTGTGAGACCCTGAGCTTGATCCCCATCATCACATACACACCAAAAAATTAGTAAAAAGAATGATAATAATAAAAAATAAAGTGTGAGGACCATGTATAAATATTAAAGATATTATTAAAAACTTCAATTGAAACTGCCACATGATAACAATCAAAAAAAAGACCAGTCAATGAAATGAATTACAAAGCCCAGAGACAGCTAAAGGGATGTATAGCTCAGTGGTAGAGAACTTATCTAGCATGTACAGCAACACCATACAAAGACCAGAAAAAGACTCTGACATATATTAATATAAGCATGAAAAAATTAACAAAGAAATTTTTAATCAGATAGGAATTCTTTCATTTATACAATGTGGTACAATTTTTTAGCTGTTTGAAAAAAATAAAAATAAAATTTGGGTCATATTGCAATTTAAAGCAAGTGCCTCGTGTAATGAATCATAAAAGGATAAAATATTGAAAATGTATCTGCTCTCTGGATGTGGAACTTGAAACTAGAAGTACTTAGAAGAAATACACATTTACCCACACTCAAAGTTTCTAGAAAAATATACACATATCACAAAACTGAAAGTTGTAAAAATATAAACAATAAACATGATAAAGGGTTACTATTCTTAGCATATACAGACACAAGGAGCAATAACCAAAAAAAAAAAAAAGGACAAATAAAAAGAGCATAATAGCCTTTTCCAAACTTATTAAGGATTATGAAAATTATGAATGAAAAGCAATAGACTTACCTGTTGAGAATACCCCCGAAAAGTTGGATTTACAGTTTTAATTCCTTGAAATAGATTAGTAGGCACAACAGATCCTGGCCTGAGGAAGAAATCATTTTGAAAAAGAAATTTTTAATTTTTACTTTAGAAATTAAAAATCAAGAACTCAAATTGATAAACTGAAAAGTGTTTTTAATGTTTTAAAAAAACTCATTCAAAACTATCCAGCATTATGTTCCACAGGCTCATCAAAACATTTTATCATTGATATTTTAAGTGACACTGTACTGCTCTTTTCTCAATTAAGTGATCATATTTCTTTTTTTTATCATATTTCACTATATTTTTCAAAAATGCAATTTCCTGAGTAGTTCTAAAACAAAATTAACATATTACAGCAAATATTATTGCCCTATAACTAAAATTTAGAACAAACTGACACATTCAGGGAGACATCCATAAAGGTGTGGTAGTGCATGCCTACAATTTCAGCAATTCAGGAGGCTAAGGCAGGAGAATCACAAGTTCAAGGCCAGCCCTAGAAACCTATTGAGACTCTAATAATAAAAAAGAACTGAGGAAGCAGCTCCATGGTTTTAGCACCCCTGAGTTCAATCCCTAGTACTGATAAATAAAGATATCCATGGTCTGATTTTGACATTGTGAGACTGCTACTCCTGCATTATAACTCACAAATTTTGGTAATAGCAGTATTAGCAGTTCAGCACTCCAGATGCTTCTAAACTTTTAAACTGAACACTCCTTTATTTGGGTGTTAAGTTTCAAATGTAACATGCCTGAAACTTAACTGAACTGCCATGAATGTCTATCCTCTACTTTTTCCCACTCCAAAAAATAGGCCTGCATCCTTTTAATATTTATAATACTCATTTAGAAATATAATAAGAAAAATAAATAGAGTACATACCTGCTCTTATGCCACAATTCTGTCATTAGTTTGAGATAACTTTTACAAATGGCTGGTTTCTTATCTGTTCTAGCTAGTCCGCCACAATCAAGAAAAAACTGTGTCAAAGGTGGGCTAATTAAAAAAAGAGAAAGGTTAGAGTGGAATCAAGCTTTTCTTTTTTAACAATCCAAGGGTATTTTAATTTTTTTATAACTATTATGTCACAAATTCCTAGGAAACAGGTTCTAGCAGTTCAGACTCCTTTCTACTAGTTCTCACAAAGCATGCTTCTCTAGGTGCAGAAGATTGGCACGTCTGCTGAACTCAGGTACCTTCTCTTTGGCTTCCTTCTTTTTCTGATAATTTTCTTTTACATTTCAGGAAGCTGTCTCAGCTCTTAAGAGTGCTTAAAATTCTCAATATGCATACTAATTTCCTTGGCAAGAATCTTGCCTTTAACTTGCTTGTTTTATACAATGCCAATAGCATACTGGATAACACTGTAGACTCTGATAGTTTTGCCATGGTAACATCTGTGGGGCATTCCTTTTTGAATAGTACCCCTGCCTTTAATGTCTACAATATCACCTTTATAAGTTCATGGACATGATCAAAAGAACAATTCCAAGTGTTCTAAAAGACCTAAAGAACATATACTGTGTGCTTTTCCTCTTGTCCTTTGTGTTTGTAATTTTGATGAGTTACTGGAAGATTACAGATCTGGCTGAAAACAGAATCAAATTACTGATTAATTTTTGGTCATTTAATGAATTGATAGCACATATATCCCTATATCGATTATTTCCTTTTATGGAACTCAACCCCATTCAAATCAGATTTAACTCAACCATATCATTCCTCCATGCTGCCAGATGGTAACTACCCTTCATTCTTAAACAAACCTCTCTTGACCACTGTAATTCTCTTTACCTCTCAGACAACTCCTTTTCTCATTTTATTTGTTCTTTCTGCTCTCAGGCATAAAAATATTTTTAGTATATATAAAGGATGCTATAATTTTTCTTTCCTAAATATACTCTTATTCTTGGACAATCTGAAATTCCCACCCATACTCCAGCGATGGTCATATTTATATAAAGTCAACCAACTTATCTAAACTCCATTTACAGCAAATGCTCAAAATGATGGCTGTTACCATTTCAAATTTAACATGCTTGAAATTTAACTTTCAAGTCAATCTCTTCCTTCTCCTTCTACATTCTAGTATGTGGTACTGTTACACGTTGATGATGTTGATGACTCAAGTTAACAATTTTTTATGAGTTTGATTAGCTTCTATGATTCTATTCAGTTACAGGAAATTGGAAAAAGGACCAGATCCAGACCTGCTATAAACTGACCACCCTATGAAGACATCTGGATAGCCAGTAAATTATCCTTTGCAACATTGTAATTTTATCATCCATATCTTTCCCAATGAAATCGAAGAAGATATAAATTTGTGGAATTGGTAGTGCAGTAATCAACAAAAGATCTAGAGCAACAAATGTACACATAAAAATCCCAGATTCTGAATTCTACTCTAACATTTACGATAAGCTGGTAATCTTTTTTTTTTTTTAATATGGAACACTTCATGAATTTGTGTATCACCCTTGCAGAGGGGCCATGTTAATCTTCTCTGTACTGTTCCAATTTTAGTATATATACTGGTTATGCAAGCACACTAATGAGCTGACAACCATGGCAAAATTATTTAACCTTCTGTGGTACACTTTCTTATGAGTATTAAAAAAAAAAAAATCAACCTACAATCCTTTCATCATATAACTACATTATTAACCTTACTGTCTCCTCCCTTTGTCCACTGACTCTAATCAAACCATATCAATCAATCATTATAAGAATGTCTCTAATTCATCCACTCTTTTCTTACCACCCTAGATGGTGCAAGCCACCAAAATTTCTTGCCTAAATCACTACAGTTTCCTAGCTGGTCTTCCAAATTCCATTCTCTTCCCCCTCCAATCCACATGGCAATCATTCTAAAATGTAAACTGGATTATTTAGCTATCCATTGTAAAATTTCTCCAATTGTTTTACTTCACTAAGCATAAGACCTAAATCCTTCATGTGGTCTATGTTACCTGGACCCATGCTATTTACCCCCATGATTATCATACTCCTATCACAAATTTTCTTCCAGTTTCTCAAAAGTGTCAAGGCTGCTTACCAAATATTCATCTTTCTGTGCTGAATGTTCTCCCTACCCTTTATACAACCAGCTCATACTCATTCTTCAAGTTCCAGACTAAATCTCACTTCATCAAAGAGGTATTCTCTGATTATTTAATAAAAATTATTATTTTTTATTTCATTGGGTTATGGAACATAATGTAATTGGAACATAAGAGAACTAACAGTAAAGTTAGTTTACTACTAAAAACTACTAAAAACGAGATTACTCTGGGAAGAAATATACTTATGTTTAGTCTCCAATCACTATTCTAAAATTCAATCCAGTACAACGTCAAAATCAATGATTATGAATTCTGGTCCTTACTTAATACCTCTACATCTAAGAGTAATAACTGCCCTTTCTACTTTGTATGATTTAGAAAAAAATTTTTTTGAATGCTTTGTTAGTGAGGTTTCCACTTCTAGGGAAAAAAAAATATTTTCATAGGATTTCTAAACTAAAAGTGATCTGAGGAATTAATTACTTCAAGCTCTTTATTTTCTATATGTTAAAAAAAAAAAAAAATGTCTATAGTCTATGCCAGGACCAAAAGTGTTGGAAAACTATAGACATGCAGACAGTTACCCCATTTGAACAATGGATTGTGTTCTAACCCAGATCTTTGCCTACTCTATTTTGGGAGTTAGTCTACTATTGCAATAGCATGGTTTTCTGCTCAAAGAGTAACTTTTTAAAACTACACACGCACACGCAGACAAAAAAAATTAAGTTATTTCTTACCAGTTAGAAAGAGCCTGCAAAGCTGCATTCATATAACAAGTATTTCCAATATTTTTCAAACCTGTAAGACCTATTGGGAAAAAATATAAAGTCCTCATTTAAAAACACAAAAGATACTCAATTAGTCATCAAAACAGTTTGATGACAATGCAAAAAACTCATGTAATGAGAAACAATAAAAATCTTTTTTCTCTCCATTTTCATGTGTAACACTAAAGCAGTATTTGTTAGCTTGAGCCATAAAAAACTGCCAAAGTTCAAACTACACAACATCAATTTCCTGTGGTTCAAGCCAAGACAATAAAGCAGACATTGGATAAATTTCTCTCTTCCATGTATCTTCAAGTTCACAGTAGGCAGCAGAATGGTGAGCATAGCTGCCTTCCATTTACACTCAAGTTCACTTACATTACTTTATCACATTATTAAAAGATGAAATAGAGATGCAGGATGAAGCTCAGTGCACATGCTAGGCAAACGCTATGTTACTAAAACTACATTTCTTACCTGGAAATTTAAACTTCTAAGAATCTCTAAAACACAGCTTAGAATTAGTAACAGTTGTCAACAGTATCCAATAAAATAATACTGTGGGCTAAATTAATGGATTAAAACAGACATATATGAAATATATATTATTTCTAGTAATGTTAAACTTATAAAAAAGTGTTAATCCCCATTTTATTATTTTAATATATACTAAATATACACCTAAAAACAATTATAAAATAGAAAATTTGAAGTTTTTACCATGAGCTATAGACCTAAAAGAATACAAAAAACGTGAGACTTATTCTCATGTAAGGGTTTGAAGTAAGGGAGTGAGGGGGCAAAGGTCTATCATAATAACCTCGTTTTCCAAATGAATGTTGTCCCTTAGAAGTTCTAAGGGGATACATGAATATTTCCCCACCAACTGACAGGTTAAAAATTTAAAAATGGGTTGAGAACTACTGTTCAAATAGATATCAAAATGCACATTAGCAAAAGGTCATAAGGCCCAACTGTAAAAGAGTCATTAGGATCTCAGTTTGGTAAAGTGATTCCAGAGAAACCAAAAGTTTGCTTTATTTCCAAATACATAATAGAACATGTTTCTGAACTCTCTTTTTGTAATTATCTCCATTCCCACAACCTCTAAATTTTGAAATTTTCACATTACATATTTTCCTTAAGTAACAAGCAGCCAAACAAAAAAAGGGTGTTACACAGGAGAATTATGTTACCTCTTGCCTTAAGTTCATCTTCTTCTTCCACTTCTATATCCAGATCATCAAATACAGCAACCAGAGGAGTTTTCAGTGTTGTGTTACTAGGTATTTTAAAATCCTTATAGCAAAAAGATATAGCAAACTTGAATAAATCCTCAGGGTAAAAAAAAACCTTTAATTTTAACTTATACAATTACTAGTAGATGTTATTTTAATAGAACCCTAAGAATTTGTGGTATTAGCAATTATTCTAAAATTGACATTTAATTTTGAAGGAAATACACATCTATGCTAATTAATAGCAAATGATCTTGGTTTTATTAATATTTGAACTTATATAAAAAGTTACCTTTTATAACTGACTTTCCTAAATTTAAACTCAATAATTGAGTAATATCATATCTCAATTAAAATAAGACCTCCAAAATGTACTATCCTACATTGTCTTTTCAGATCTTTCTAACTTTGCAAGAAAAAGGTGTAAAATTTTTCATCATAACAAATCAACATTTATAGATTTCAAATATATTTTTTCTTAATATATATTACTATACTTAGCTTGCACACTCTTATGCTTATTAGTCAAAAAAGTATTTAAATTAAAAAATTCCAATATTATTTCCCAAGAATTGACTTAACTCAGACATTGCAAGTGATAACCTGTTGGCCAAATGCTAGCCTACAGTTAAAAAGAAAGACCCCCCCAAAAAAAGAAAATTTGAGCTAAAGTTTAAAATATCAGGAAAGTGCACATAAAGAACAGAAATTTCAATCTGTCTTTTAATATCATAAGATCAAGGCACACTGAACTCATTCAACAACAATCAAATAGAGAACAGGAATACCATAATGCATTTAGCATGTACTCTGGATCTCCAACTTAAAAGCCTTATCACATCTTCCCAATGCAGGCATATGTACTTATACCCACCCACTTATATCTTTCCTTTCCTTTCTGGTATCTATAGATACTGAAAATTTGAATAGGTTTCATATTTTCGCTTGTATTTATAAAATAATTGTTTTATAAAAATGGTACATGTTCACTTCAATCTGAAAAAATCTTAATGACATTTGCAAGGTTTCCAATGTTTTGTTATCAATACTTAGGTGAACAGAATTCAAACAGCCTATAAATTCTGCACTTCTAAAGAAGTTTATAAAAATAACTTTTCTTCTGAATAATAAAATATTCCAATTCATCAGGAAATTAAGTATCAGTACACTTATTCTACCAGATTCAAAATTCATTAGAATTTTCAATCTTAATCTATTTTGGCAGAAATAGGAACAGATTGGCTGGGGTTGTGGCTCAGCAGTAGAGCGCTCACCTAGCACATGCAAGGCCCTGGCTTCAATCCTCTGCACCACATAAAAATAAATAAAAAGGTATTGATCCAATACAACTAAAAAATAAAAAAAGAAATGGGAACAGATATCTTATTTAATTTACTTTTAGTAAGTAATGCTAATAATTACTTTGCTTTTATAAACTGTGATCAGTTTCTTACATGATTAAAATTTTAGTCAGCACATCACATCACACTTTTGTTAATAATGTAAGAATCAAAAAACTTATTTTCAGGGCTGGGGATGTGGCTCAAGCGGTAACGCGCTCGCCTGGCATGCGCGGGGCGCTGGGTTCAATCCTCAGCACCACATACAAATAAAATAAAGAAGTTATGTCCACCGAAAACTGAAAAATAAATATTAAAAAATATTCCCTCTTTCTCTTTAAGAAAAAACTTATTTTCAAAGTATTAAAGCTTTTGAAATATATTAAACACTTGTGAATAATAAGTAGGTACTTGCGGAAGAAATAGTAATGGTGATAATTTATTGGAACCATTCAATGTCAATCTGGCAATGCAACAAACATTCCCTGTCTAAAATCTACTTATCTTAGGTTATAGTGTGTAAGGCAAGCAATTTACTGTCACAAATGTCAAGCATCAAAATGTGATACAAAGATACAACAGAAAAATCTGAGTTGGCATCAAGAACAAATTTAGAACCAGGCATGGCAGCGCACTCCTGTAATACCAGAAACTCAGGAGGCTGAGACAGCAGAATGGCAAGTTTGAGGCCAGCCTCAGCAACTGAGCAAGGCCCTCAGCAACTTAATGAGACTCTGTCTCAAAAAAAATAATAATTAAATGGGCTGGGGATGTGGCTCAGTGGTAAAATACCCCTGGGTTAAATCCTAGTACCACACACACATAAAGAAAGGAACCAATATACAAATGCAACATAACTTTTACAATACACATAAGGAAAAAGAAGCCTCAGGGTTAATCAAATCTAATCAAATGATAATCAGAATAAGTTTGCAGTTAACTGTTATAATTTCCTTTTTCTTATTTTTATATGACTGGAAATTATGAAAATTAGGTGATCAATCTTCGCAAGTCTATACATGTACTCTAAGTCTCTTGATCCAAAGGGAGAAAAATCTCTAATTTAAGACATACTATATTTCATTATATTCTATCTAGTTTTCAATAATTAGTAAAAAGTTCACAGTAATAAAAATG